GTGTAATGCACTACCAAAACGCCCGTAACTAAGAAACAAATGCTAATTCGATGATGCCGGCTGGCACACTGTTTCACTATGAATGTGGGCCGCACCCCCCAGCGGCAGAAGCTCGTACTACATCCGGTTTGCCCGCTATTGACACAGTCTGGAAACTTTCCGATCGCACCTCGTATCAACTTGAACTAAATATAACTGCTACATAGTTTCTTCCTCACTGTCAGTAATGAAGCATTTACACTCAAGTTTCAATAAAAAAAGTAAAGCAGTCCTGCCACATTCCACGTAGGTCACTTGGAAGGAGAGGAGATAATAGCTCCTACTCATTCTTCACACTGGCACTAGATGGTGAGTGGCCAGCACCACGCCCCGGCCACACTTTACCCCTGGTACCCATTGTATAGGAGGCTGGGCGGACCCCAGAGCATCTGGATGCAGAGTCTACAGGAAAAAATCTCTGCCCCCACCAGGGATTGAACCCGTCGTCCAGCCCGTAGGTAGTCACTATACTGACTGAACTATCCTGGCTCAAGAGTAAGTTTCAGTACATAACACTGAATGTAGATTCTAAATCTAAATCAGCATTTCATGGATCATATAAGAGTGTTGCAAGAGATGATTAAGGGTCACATGCTTATTTAAAATGAGGACACAAAAAATAATATTCTCAAAAATCCCTGTGTGTGCGCGCATGCACGCACACACTTCAGTATGTAATCCTAATAAATTAATCTTACATAACCCAGTGTGAGAAAAGAAGATATTTAACAATTAAAGTGAAGTCAGTCTATGGAAGGTCAGGAATTTGGATATGTAATAAAAGCAGGATGTAAGGAATTTGAGATTAACAAAATGACTGACGACACTAGCGAGCACCAGAAGTGGAGAAGTCATGATCACCAGTTGCCAGACTACACATTACCAATTAAGATGATTTAGGAAGACCACACACGAGATGGTTCGAACAGTCTTTGTAACCTTGTAACAGGTCTAATAAACATAAACCTCAGAAGAAAGAATAATAAAAATTAGAATCAATGAATTAAAGTCACCATCCTTCTGTATGGAAAGTCTCTGCTTATGCCAACTTCAGAGAACTGACTCTCTTCTCATAAGCAGCCCAAAGTTTGGTACGATATTCCTGTGCAGCCTGTACAGGATCTGCAGCTTGCACAATTCCCCTGCCAACAACAGCAATATCTGCACCTCGAAGCATTATGACATCTTCTGGGGAGTTATATTGTTGTCCCAACTCCCCATCATTCTGGCAATCCAAACTTACACCAGGTGTCAACTGCAGCAATCCAGGATTATTAAGAGTGCTGGGAGTCTGACATACCACACCAACCACAAAGTCTGGATGCTTCTTACATATTTCCATCGAGGCTGAAAGAACACACCTACTCATAATTCCACTTTCTTAAAGTGATGTTACAATTAAAATGGGTAAGAAGTTTAAATAACTAGTTACGAGGGTTGGTCACAAATGTCATATAATGACGTGTTTCAATGACAATAAATTACAGTTTGCAGTCTGCTGCTTCTGATTTACTTGTTAATAAATTAATTAGCCAGTGTTTAGTGAGGTAATGAAGAAAAACTACATTCAATTCATCTATACTTAGACCTTAATAAATAGACCTCCATTGGGGCATAAAAAAAAGATGATGGAGCCAATGCTTGTGCCTCTGCTTTACAGATTGGAATCCACTGATTAAAAATTTCTGGATCAATAATGGATGCACACCAACCAAAATACAAAGGACAGTCATGACTATGGGTTGTTGTGTTAACACATTATGTACCTACATCTAATTCTGTCTCCCTCCATCTTATTTTACAGCAATAAAAATATAACTAGACATTTATAACACTTAATTTCATAGTCCATAGATTTTAAGTTAAAGATATATTCCTAAGTGTATGAGATATTGGAAAGGAAGCAAAGATGAGAACAATAAGAGAAGGAATAACAAAAGACAATAAAGTATCAATATTACTAATGATGGTATTGTACATTGAAATGCTGCATGGACTTCCAGGTACATATGAATATATCAGAGGAACATGCTGCCCTCATATTCAGCTCTCCAAAACACTGGTTCATATACAAGTCCATACAGAGTGACAACCCACAACAACATGGATGTTCTTGCTTCTAAAGCTAATGCAAGTTTTGATCATTTCTTTGAAACTTTTCCAGCAATACATTTCAAATGCCAAATACATTCAGTAATATAATTTTATGATTAAAGTGAAAATAAATGCATCAACTTTACTCAGACTAGTGCAGAACTTTCTTGTTTCCAATAACATTCTGACCTTCTACGAACTTTCATTCTGTGCATTAAGATTTGTACAACACAAAATATTTTATTGTGCAGGAAAACTACACACTTTTAATCATTTTATGACATATATCCATGCACCCATATTTTAGATATTTTATAGACTTCCCACTATTCTTACTGAAAATCTTAGAACTCTACTAATAAAATCATGTCTGCATTTATGTATATTGCTTGCTTACCTTGGAAATTTTTGTTTCCATCTTAATTCTCAATAATGTCCAAGTTTTGTCTTGCACTGGAGAAAGTAGTTCTGAGACATACATAATCTTCAACAGCATTTTTATAATTAAATATCATGGTTTAAATTCACCTGATCCACCAACCAGGCACCTCTGCATAACAAAGTAAAGTATAACTTACAAGAAATATAACTGGGTGTGGTAAGATTCCCAGCAGAGCTCATCTCCACAACTATAAAACAACCTCGATGGAGATCAGCAACAGCAGATTTCAATCCTGTTATCACACCTTCGCCTGGTACTGGATGGACTGTCACAAGATCAGCCCAAGAACAGATTTTGTAGGTCCCATGTGAATACTGCAGACTCACAGTGTGACCGATATCAGCAAATTTTCTGCATAAAAAACAATAAATTAATCATTGTCCTGACGAAACATCAGCCAATATCTGCCAGACTACATGGCATAACATCCCAAAAGCTCTTATGAGTATTATAGTGATGAGATTCTGATGGAGTACATACCTATCCTCAATCAAGAGGAAATTATGTTTCTGAGCTGCAGCAAGTAATTGTTGGATGAGCTGAGCTGAGAAGTCTTCCACTATATCAATATGGGTCTTGAAGAGGCATACATATGGACCTACAGTCTCAGCTAAAGCTATCAACTTGGAAGCACTTGTCACATCAGCTGCTACACATAAGTTACTCTGCTTAGCCACCATTATTTTCAGCAATTTTGCTGCTACAGGATTAGTTGCTTGATCTGCCCGTACACTGAATGGCAAAGACAATCTGGATGGTTTCACACTCTCTGCAAATAGATTAGTATGTTCTTAAAATATTATCTTACATGTAACATCATATTAAAACAACAACAGGAGGCACTGTGAAGCAGAGTTGTTGGAAGACAGAGATACATGTTGTTAGATGACCACATAAACTAGAAACATCACAGAAAGATGATGAACCCAGGATCTGCATGAACGGATTGGCAAATGAGACCGGGATGTTTGAACATTTTTCATTTCTACTCCTGATTTATACCTGTGAGGGGTTGTGCTGTGAAGAATGTGCTATCAAGGTGTATCTGGCTTGCTGCAAGGTACTTCTTCACACTGTCCACTATCTCTTGGTTTACTCGTCCAGCATCTTTTAGAACTTGTAGAATCTGGAGCCAACAACATTCACTATCACTGTCAGTCAAGCAAATGAAATATTTCAAGAACTGGTAAAGAAATCCTCACTTAATGGTACCTGCACCTTGTCGTGGTGGTGGGGCTTGAGTACCTCAGTGATCCCAAGAGCTATGCTGGCAGTAGCACAGCTACTGGTAGGGCCTCCCTAGCCAGATTGGTCGAGGGGGAGAGGTCAGACTAAGACAGGTACCCTGGTCCTCCAGGTTGGGGGTTGGACGCAAGGCTAACCTCGATCAAAGCCTCGGACAGACGGACCTAACAGAAGACCGAATGGAAGAGGCCATGGACCGAATACGGACCGGAGAGCCATAGAAGAAGAAGAAGGTAAAGAAATATATTACAAAACAACCTGCTTTATGAAGATTAAGATTATGAGATGTGACAGTATAGAAAGAAAATATAAGGTATATACAGAAAAGCAGAGCAAGAGTATAGAAGGAAAAAATTAAAGAGAGACAATAAGGAACCAAAACAATCTGAGGGAATTTAAGGATACCAAGATAGCTGTCTTCTGGGCTGAAACACTATACAATATGGAAGAATGAATGTCTTGGAAGGTAAATTAACAAATAAGAAAATAAGATGGCATGGATGCATTTAAAAAATAAACAGATAATCCAAAAGAAAGTTCTGGACCAGAAAGTAAAAGAAAAATGACAAACAGGGAGCCTGAGATCCAAACTGGAACAACAGGTTAAGAACTATGTCATACAGAAGGAAAGTAAACAAAGGAAGAAAATGAGGAGAAATTGTGGAAAGACATAAGTAAATGGTAAGGCTTGAACGTCAGATGACCAATATAAAGTGAAAATGTCTTAGGAACAAGACAAAGAAGTTACAGAAAGCTATTCAAATGAAAACCTATACCTGATTTCACAGACTACCAGTAGAAAACAGAGTTAAATTTTAGCTGAATTCAAATAAAGTAAATAATATATAATTTCTGCATATGTATGTGTCAGTTTGTACTATCTGCCATTCCTTGTTTCTGCAATGTATCTTAACTGTTCTTTGTGTCACACCACTCCAAAGTTGAAAAGTCACATTTAAGCACTTTAGGTTATATACTAAACATTACTGATATAAAGGGAAGAATAATTACACATTCATTTTTATTCATCATTTTATATATAAAAGTCTTTCATCTGGACACAAAAAGAATGTGTTTAAACTGTCTCCTTTATTTAAAAAGACTTATATTATTACACAGAGTCACTGTATAATGTTAAAGATCAATGGTGAACATTACTATGCTACATAGAAGACAAAGTTGGAGATCAGGGAAGCATGCATCACAGAGTCCAACAAAAAAACTGCCTCTGAATTCCACTTACTTGAACAAATTACAAATCACCAATCTCTTAACTTACTAACTGCATGGAGTACAGTTCTTGAGAAAATTATAGTTGTTCAGCTAGTCAAGAAATTCAGTACCTCTTACAGAACTCAAAGTTCATTACCATGTTCACAATAGCCCTCCCACCAGTTCCTATCCTGAGCCAGATGAATGCAGTCTACATCCCCACTCTAACTAAAGACACATTTTGACATGTTTTCCAGAGATTATGAGATGTGACAGTATAGAAAGAAAATATAAGGTATATACAGAAAAGCAGAGCAAGAGTATAGAAGGAAAAAATTAAAGAGAGACAATAAGGAACCAAAACAATCTGAGGGAATTTAAGGATACCAAGATAGCTGTCTTCTGGGCTGAAACACTATACAATATGGAAGAATGAATGTCTTGGAAGGTAAATTAACAAATAAGAAAATAAGATGGCATGGATGCATTTAAAAAATAAACAGATAATCCAAAAGAAAGTTCTGGACCAGAAAGTAAAAGAAAAATGACAAACAGGGAGCCTGAGATCCAAACTGGAACAACAGGTTAAGAACTATGTCATACAGAAGGAAAGTAAACAAAGGAAGAAAATGAGGAGAAATTGTGGAAAGACATAAGTAAATGGTAAGGCTTGAACGTCAGATGACCAATATAAAGTGAAAATGTCTTAGGAACAAGACAAAGAAGTTACAGAAAGCTATTCAAATGAAAACCTATACCTGATTTCACAGACTACCAGTAGAAAACAGAGTTAAATTTTAGCTGAATTCAAATAAAGTAAATAATATATAATTTCTGCATATGTATGTGTCAGTTTGTACTATCTGCCATTCCTTGTTTCTGCAATGTATCTTAACTGTTCTTTGTGTCACACCACTCCAAAGTTGAAAAGTCACATTTAAGCACTTTAGGTTATATACTAAACATTACTGATATAAAGGGAAGAATAATTACACATTCATTTTTATTCATCATTTTATATATAAAAGTCTTTCATCTGGACACAAAAAGAATGTGTTTAAACTGTCTCCTTTATTTAAAAAGACTTATATTATTACACAGAGTCACTGTATAATGTTAAAGATCAATGGTGAACATTACTATGCTACATAGAAGACAAAGTTGGAGATCAGGGAAGCATGCATCACAGAGTCCAACAAAAAAACTGCCTCTGAATTCCACTTACTTGAACAAATTACAAATCACCAATCTCTTAACTTACTAACTGCATGGAGTACAGTTCTTGAGAAAATTATAGTTGTTCAGCTAGTCAAGAAATTCAGTACCTCTTACAGAACTCAAAGTTCATTACCATGTTCACAATAGCCCTCCCACCAGTTCCTATCCTGAGCCAGATGAATGCAGTCTACATCCCCACTCTAACTAAAGACACATTTTGACATGTTTTCCAGCCAAAATTTTATATGCATTTCTCATCTCCCATTTCTTAGTGTATGTAACTGACCTTCCACAGTTGCATAGGTTATATAATGTTCAACAGGAAGCTGAAAGTTAATGCTTGAACTCTGAACTGTCCGACTCAGATTCAGTGACCTAACACATATCTGCCTTACCTGGGAGAGGGTACATAGGCTATGCATGGTGACACCTTTCTCTGAAAGATTGTAATTGCCTCCTTGCTCACGATCCACTACAACAACAGCAGAGGTCACACGTAGCCCTTCAGATTGCAGGTCCTGCAACACAAATGTTACATTTAAGTAAATAAAGCTTCATAATATAAGTAACTAGTAGCAATTGTAAGGCACTGTTATAATACATCAATGTATATTACACCCATGAAAAATACAAGCTACCCAAATTAATTATCAGCATTTAAAATACAATGGAGTTTCAATATAATGTGACTCATTATGTATGGGTTCAGATAACATAGGGCCAAGTTTTTCATTCTGAAAATAAAGATGTACTGTGTATATGACATTAACGTTAAACTATTATATGCTTGAGCTTCCAAAGATCCATTTAATTGATTTTAAGCTTTCATGGTGATCATGCTTTTGGTTGGTGGCCAACTTGTACCAGCACCCAAACGCACAGTCCACATCAAATACCTATTTGCATAGTAATGCAGCAATAATGTAGGATAAAGATTTCTGCTTGCCCAACTATGATGTGGAAAATGTCACAGCTTTTCTGATTCACACTGCTTGGGACAGGCTTTCTCTTTCAGGTAATGACCTTACCAAGTCTTGTATGTGCAGGAAGATGATAAAGCCACCTAGGCCATCTGGTTTTCCCAGTCTTATACAAGACTTCATTAATCATTACCCCTAGAGTGCTTTGTTTCCTGTATCATATCCCTTTCATACTATATGTGTCCACATGGTGAGGTTATGGTGTAACTGGGTGCCAGTTGGAATTACAACAATTTTTGTGCATTTCCTATAGCACATGAAAACTGAAGATTTGTTATCATGAGTAATGTACCATGACACCCGGGTGGTTGGAAGTTTGGGACCATAGAATCTCTAATACTTACCATGATCGTTTCCAAAATGCTGGAGCCACTTGTGACAACATCTTCAACAATGACACACTTATCACCTGGACTGAATTTTCCCTCAATCAGTTTCTTGGTGCCATACTTTTTTGCCTCTTTGCGGCGAATAACCATCGGAGTTTTTGAATATGAAGATATAAGAGTAGCAATTGGCATTGCTGCATATGGCACACCACATAGCTGATTGCAATCTATGTCTTTTATAGCAAATTCCCACAGCAATTCTGCAACAGTTTCCTTTAAAAAAACAGTATTACAATAATATAAAGTATTCTTCCTCTGAATGGCAAATGTGTATCATAATCATTCAATGCCAGCAACAGCATGCTGCTCTGTGGTAACCAAGAGGTCCAAACTACACTTTATGAAGTTTACACTCTCTAACTCTGAAACAGGATTTCAGTATTAGAAATTTGCTACCTGATACCTTGATGAAGCACTATTTTTAAAATTCTATAATTAGAGTTAAAGTACTCTGATGTTCTAAGAAGTAAACAAATAATTAAAAAGCATTCAGACTTGAAATAGTCACTAAGTCAATAATGAAAGAGAACTTAAAAGAATACAAGTCCCAAATCCAATGCATGTGAACATGTACATGCAATCAGTTTTCGTCTTCAGGTGTATTGGGCAGGGGCACCTAGACTGTTGTGTCCGATAAAAAGAGCTAATCTCAATCACTGGACAACCCGGGTCAGAACGGTAACATAAGTATACGCACCTGAGGTCAGATTTTGTCGACGAGAGAAAATAAAAAAATATAGAAAGCGTGTGAAAGTCAAAGACTAAAACTAATGTGGAAACGTCATATACATTTCAACCTTGGACGATGGACAAAGTACAAAAACCCAATAAACCTGATTATGAAGTGCCGATCCTTGGACCACTGGCTGGGAAAAACGGGCTTGTTCTTGAATAGGAACACGTGCACGTAAGACACAAAACACACTGATCGTGATTCTATCTGAATTACCTCATGCTTATTGTACAAACTAAGCCTGAATCACAATTTGAGAACTTAGAATCTGGGGAATTTTCTATTCAACGCTTTTTCTCTGAAAGGAAAGCTGTAACAAAGATTACTCATACAGACCCACTTACCAAAATTGCCGGATAGGATATAATACTTCTCAGATCGATGTAAACAGGAGAATCTATACCAGATTTCATTTTAAACAAGCCAAATTTCACAGCCTCGATCTCGTGTAATTTTATAATAAGATCTTTAAGTTTGCTTTCAAACTCCGCCATTACGCATGCAATGAACAAAATTGATGTGTAAAAGAGAAAACTGTGCCCTCTCTTCTTCAATTGCAATACAGCCTGTCACGGATTATCCGAGAAACAGAAGAACGAAGAAAACAAATCTTTTACCACAAGATAGCAGGACAGTCATTGAACACATTTTTTTTTTAAAATCTGTTAATGGCAGTGTTACACACTTTTTATTTCAACATACCGAAATATTACCAAAAAAACAACAACTGTGAATCAGAATTTGGGTTCATTTAACATAAAATTTTAATTTTGTTATAACTATATTTGTATTATAAACAAGTATTGTAGTTGTGCTAATCCTTGGCTAGGGTCTTTGAAGGATCCATGGAATGTAAATAAATTCTATTCTGTGGTATGGCAGAAAATCACTAAATAAATTTACAACCTTGTTGACAGAGGCAGAGACTGTTGCTCCCAGATGACACTATAAAACAATCTAATTGTTGGTTCCTTCCATGCTCAAAGAATTTCAGAAAATAAACTTTCCTCATTATGATGGTTAATGAAAGTGATGTCCTCTTGGCCAACCACATTCTACTGTTTTCCCACCAGGTCTGCAATATGACATTTCTCTCTTCCCCCAACTTCTAACCACTTTGAAAGAAAAGGTATGCAGTAGTGCCAGAATATCACATGGGAAACAAGTGACATCCTGAATGAGCAACATAAGTGCTTCAAAAATGGTTGTAAACAGGAATCTTGCAACTGCTTTGGAGTAGATAAATGCAATAAACTGTCACTGTTATATATCTGTCCCCATTACTTCTGCACTAGAACTCATAACTGTATTAACATATTTAAAGTGCTTATAAATGTTTTCATTAACCATTACTGGTATGTTAAATTAGATGTTAAAATAATTGTTATTTTTTATTTAATTGACACCAATATCTCTCTAAACATAAAAGTTACATAAATAGCAGTTACAATGCTTTTCAGTTTATTCTTAATACTCTAGAATGCTCATCTCTTCCTGCTGTGCTGTTTCAAGTCCATTTTACAGAAAGCTCACCACACATGCATTTTACAGTGTCAAGAAGTCAATATGCAAGTACAGTAATACACATTTAACATGCACATTGTTGCTGGTAGCCCTGGCTGCTCTTTGGAATATGTCATGCATGATCTATCATGTATGACCTATGTGTTAAATACAATAAAATTAAATTGAACACCAATAAAAATTAATTCAGAGGTATGACTGAGGTTTCAAAAGGCACATACATTAACGTGACAAACTAAAAGAAATTGCATATTAAATTCTTTTCTAATGAAAATTTAATTTCAGTGTTACTCTGTCCCTTCCCCAAACTTATTGTCGTCTATAAGGGATTCTATCTTGTAATGAGACCTCAGCAGGACTTTTATATAACTTTCAAAGACTTAAACTATGGCAATAAGAAGTTAGAAAAGTCACTTTAAAATATGAAAGTTCACTAGACAGTATCAACCTCAGCACCTGCCAACAATACCCAAATGAGCAGCACATAAACAAGTGATACTTGAGAAAGAGATTGCCACTTTTCTACCACAGGACATACATATTACAGACCATCAACATCAAGCTTCATTTAAAGACCAGGAAAATTAGTAATGTGCAGCTGTGGTCTTCTGAGATTTCATATCATGTAGGCTTGTATGTTACCAGTGTTTTCAAAAACTTAGGTAACCACTACCAACCCAAAATACCACAAATGAGATCTTCACTGTTAAAATTAAAGACTAATATTTGAAAACACATGCTCCTTGGAGAATGAGTACTGTATATGCTTTTGCATAAGTGACTAAGAAGCACAAATATAATTAAACAACTGCAAATTTGTACATAATGCCAGAGACTGACCATGAACAGTGCTAAAAAGCAAGACCTGGTTATGAATTGCAAAACCTTTTAAACATTTGAAGTTATTTAACTTTGAATTAGATTCTACTTGGCAGAGATAGATTATCAGTGTTCCACTCAATTTATTTCTTCCACTAGAGAGGAAACTGAAAGGGACCTCTGCATTTTCTCCTATCCTTAAAATTACACAACTGAACACAAAATCAAACTGAATTCATGGGCTAGTATTATTAAGTGAGGAAACTGAAGAGGATGTTCATACCTGGCTTCTACAATTCATGGCACTGCAAACTATCCTATTCACAAGCCTGTCATAAATAGGTTCTGATACTTTTTATTTTGAGAAATATTATTTTAGAAGAAAAACCTAGTCAATAGTTATAGCATTACTTCACATATTTCCTAAGAAGGTATTATACACAAATGATTTGTGAGAATATGCTCATAATACATTCACCACTTGGAATGGACATGGTGGCAAAAGAAAAATTGCCAACACTGCTGGATGATTAATCCAGACTGTCGAATCACTTTATTCACCAAACTTCCACAGGTCACATACACAACTTCTTTGTAAATTGAAAACATGAACATTAACGTCACACTGGAGGCCACTCAGTCATTCATGTAAATTTTGTACAGTCATTAACTATGTGGCATATGCACAAACTTGGAAGTTGAAAGTGACACTAATGACATTTAGTTTTCAGTCCTTAAAGAATGTATGGTAATAGATTATAAAAAAATTTGTAATATTTTTCAGAATGTAAAATTTCAAAATGGTGGATGCAAGAAATCTATATTTAGCTTTTCATTTTATGTTGATAACTAAAGAACAATGGAGCTAGGCTTGTCAAATGTGCTATGGAGATAATGACATACACATACCTACAAATTGTGCAAGAAATATTATTCATAAGTCAACAATAACATGGCAACAGAGTGAAAATTTGAGGTATATGTCTCACAAATTATATTTATACACAATCTGTAAATAAGTAGGAAGTTCTTTTTCAAAAACAAGACAGTATTAATACTACAGCTAATAATAATAACTACAATGTGTAATATATGTTCAATTTCAAGCAACAGGCAATTAAAACTCAAGCAGGATTTTATCCAACCATATGCATATGAGGCTAGCATGACAGCCCATGAGCATAATTTAAGTTTACTGTCAAATCATAGGCTTTGGGTTCTGCCTGTAACTTCTTTTATAAAAGTTTAATTATGAAATGGGAAGTTCCTTGCAATTTTGCATGCTTCACAAGGCCTTTATTTTTTATGTACCAGTTTTTGAGAAGTTATAAACCACATTTGAGCTTCGTGCAAATACAGTTCGTTTATTGACCAAAATTAAATTCACACAGTAATTTTGTGTATCAAACTTTATTGAAACTCATCAAGTAATTCTAGAAATGAAAAATGTACAGACACAATATACCACTGGGTTTAATTCATGCATATTGTGGAAAGAACATATGCAAATTGGTAGTTTATTTTTGTAGCAATCAGATTTACTGGTGCCTGTAGTTTTCACATTTATTATTCCACTAACATGAATTAATTGAAATATTTTCAACATTCCACATACGATTCTCCACCCCAACATCTGTTACCACACTGTTACTTCTGCTTAGATTAGATCCATGTAACTTAAATAACAACCTATGCAATTCTATAATTTTATGTGTCCCAAGCTGCATCATTAAGGAAGACACTAGGCTTTGGTATAGTATGATGAAATGGAAAGTGCAACAAATGGGCCATGATTTAGTACTGTAAGAGACAAAAGTGCAACTGTCTCATTGATACTCATTTATTCAATACCAACAGCATAACACAGCATTTCCAAGCAGTTCATTTGTTACAACTTACCATCCATAAGTGATAGCATGATATAGGAATGAAAGTAGTAGTTAATAATTTCAGTTAACTTATACTGTAGGGCAGGCAATTTGTTTGTAGGAATGTTCTGTGGCAGAAAGTAAAGAATCTTATTCTCTTCAAAAATAAAAGACATGACTCTGTGAACTACTCTTCATTTAAATTCTGTCGTAAGACACATCCATTTTGTTTTCATTGTTGCTACCACCACCCGCTTTGCAATTTTAATTATGTATGTTAAAAATCTAAATTCATAAAGATGAACAGAACAATACAAGCCATAAAAAGTACTAAATGTTACAGAATTAGAGCAGCATTTTAAATAAATATCCTAGCATCTGGTCATCTATGACCAGCATACTGAAGCAAGCATCTAATGGAAGGGAATCAGAATAGAAAGCAGAGTTAAAATACTTAAATTTTTTACACATTTTTGTAGTCACATGTTTGACTCCTGTCCTGGTCAACAACACTTTGAACCAACTGAAATACTAAAATACCCAGGGCAAAACAGGCAACCAGTTCATGTGGGGTTCCAACAATGTCAGTCTTATTTAAAAAACTGAATTATCCTCATTTTATTTACCCTTTATTCCATCTTTGTATTCTACTTCATGGGTACCTAAAATGTGGATAATGTTCTTATAAAACTGTACACTTTCAAAAATTATCATTCTCACTGGACTTTTTTACACTGCAATTGCTTCCAATGTCATACTATTCACACTTCTGGGATCAATGTTGTTATATATATATTTATATACATAATTAATAAAGTTATTGTTTTCTGTACAGTTGTCCCAGAAAATGTACCCAATTCAGCACAAACCTAGAAACAACTCTAAACAATTCTAGAAATAAAATAAAAAATATTTGCTGTTGTTACAAGCATCTACACATGCATGTATGAAAACACAGAAGACAAGTCCTTGACTTTTATGCCAAATAAGATGTCATAAAGTTAATTTTTTCACATTTTATGCTACTATCATAGTAACTTTCCAGGTCACTCTTGCAATTCTAACATGGTACCAAATAATGTAAAATAAAGCTGTTTCTTGTGCCCAATACACTCAAACACTCACTCTTGGCAATTCAAAACTGGAATGGAACAGAAACCCATGATCAAATGTCTTTGTGAAGGGTTGCAACAAGATGAGCTTCTGAATCTTAAGTGCTGAGGTGCAAAAACCAAAGATGTGTGGAGGCAACTGCCACCAACACATACTGGATCAAGAACAGCCAGGCAAGAAGCTGCCAGAAGCTTCTGACTAGCTCATGCTCACAAGTCTGCAATGCTTGTATGCATGTGCCACACTGACTAAAATTAATAATCAATATATATGTACACATATCCTCTATTTCATTAAGAAAAATATTTACTTCCTAAATCACATATCTTTCAACAAGATACAGTGCAAACCATGTTCCTGCTGTAGTTGTCCAAATGATGGGTTCATAACAATATAATTCCATCAAATATTAGCACAGTGACCACCTCGTACGACTAGAAGAAGAACAAACAGAATGGGAAGCCCTTATAATATTCTCATGCCAGTTCAAAATATATAATCTTAACAAACTATCTTGGATTTCCTTAAGGTTCTGATGCAAGGGGTGATACTAAATCAAGTATCTCAATTCAAATAACATTTTCCATTTCTGAACAACCACTATGACTACTCAAACACACACACATTATGAAGGTGCAGATGAACTAAAATGATGGCTTAATAATAAGAATCAAACAAAGCATGAGTGGAAAATGCAGAGTTAAAGCACTAAGTACACATAGTTACCACAGGGCATTAAAGGGTTAACTATAACAATTAAAAATGAAGAACAAACTTAATGGAATGCACCCTAAACGAATGCTTCCTATGTGCTGACTTGTGTCTGAAATTCATTACAAGAAAAAAGGTGTAGACCAGGCATGATGAAATCTATGCCAGCACACAACCCTCTTTCAAGTTTTATGCACCCAAACTCACTCATCAAATTAAACACAATGTGCAGCCCTAAGGTCCCAAATTCAATGAATTTTAAGTTCAAAACATGTTACAAATAGCTACTTTTGTTCTGCTGTTTAATCTTTCAGTTAAATAAAGTGGAAACGTGTTGTAGTGAAATTCACATTTATGCGCGCTTGTGGGGAAAAAGAGGAATGAAAAATATATCTTAAATTTGAGCTTGGAATAAAAAAAAAATTGGCGGTTGTGATTTTCCCTACCCATGTGATGCCCCTAAAAGTCAACTGTTTTTAAGCAGCTCTTGGTAGACACAGAGTTTAACATGCCAGATGTCGACCATGACACTCAGAAGTAACACTAACACAACTTCACAACCACTTATCTATCCATGTCAATCCTGCAGACGACCAAATCTGATATGAACATTTTTTTTGAGAGATGACAGACCTTTTCACATTACATTTACTCAGGGTACAGCAGCTGCAGTATGAAGCTGACCACTCTTCTCAATTTGATGCCAAGGCTATGAATGCATGAAATGATGCTTCTACTCCTCCATACATCAATATGGCATGATGCTTAATTAAGCACAGGGACAATTTTATGTTTTATAAAATAACATGGAATGCTGTAAAATCAATGAATAAGCACATAAAGAATAAAATATGACATACTACAGCAGCATTATTTAAGAATATATCTTTCAGAACTAAATTTTGCTATTCTTAAAACAAAAGGTAATATGAAAAATGCCAAACTTCCCACTCTGATTCTCTTCTTCTTGGTCCAAACCATGGTCTGAAGTACAACAGCAATACACAATGCACACATGCACACTTCACACGCATAGATACATAAAAGATTGATGATGATAGCACAGCACACGGTGTGGCGATCATGGCACTAAACTAGTTCGATGACTCATCGCAGCAGCATGCACTAATGCTACCTACTGACTACAAAATAGCATCAAAATTCCATCATAATATAATAATACTATCTTTAGAAATACAGCACTTGGAAATGTAAATGGCGTAAAGATGTTTCTGTATCATATTATAATTTTTAAAATTATTTATCTAGTTGCTTAAATCATTCTTTGTAATTATGCATAGATAGAATATAATATAATCTGTGTATGTGTATATCATATGTACATTCTATTTCATTTAATGTGAAAGAAAAGATTGTCTACGTGTAAAATTCTTGATTTCAAATGTTAATAATAAATTCTACATCTGTACAGAGATAATATAAATTACAATTCACTTGTATGGCAAGGCTCAAAAGAATATATGATGATCTTTCCACTTTCCCTTCCTTACTTTCCCACTGTGGGAGCAGACTATGTCTGGCTATGTGAGGACTAATAATGAATGATATTTGGCAGAGATTGCAACACTGGCCAAGCCTTATACACACTGTGAGAACAGAATATATGAGACCCCCCCCCTTTCCTTATGCCATCTGCTCTGACCAATGTTGTGTCACAAATTCATTAAGCAGATCAGCATTAACAGAGGAGGCGATTTTTGAACACAAGTGCTATGTATGAGCTAGCTAACAGTAATGTAGAAACAACAAGTAGAGAGCCATAAGAGATACATTCTTCAGTACGTGGCCAAAACCCCATTAGGTGTGGGGACAACCACAGCAGTGTGTGTGGGATGTGGCTGTAAAGGTGGTGGTGGAGGAGGATGGTGTTGGAGGTGATGTGTGGTTGGAACCACAACCCCGTGTCCTGCCACAGCAGGATTCTGGTGATGTCCTTGTGGAGGTGGTTGAGGCTGAGCTGCACCTGCCCCACTTCCTTCGGCCACATGTTTGCGCAGATGGCGAAGCATGTTGCCCTTTTCAACAAAGGTCTTGCCACAATCGGGACAGGCATGTGGGCGGTCTCCTGAATGTGAGCGCCTATGTGAGACGAGGTGTCCCTTGCACATGAAGTCCTTTGGACAGAGGTCACAACGAAATGGTCGTTCAGCTGCTGCCCCTTTGTTGTGAGAACGCTGGTGGAAAAGCAGATTCCCCTTGAGTGGGAATGCCTTCCCACACTCTGAGCAGCTGAATGGACGCTCCCCAGTATGACACCGCATGTGATTGATGAGGTGCTCTTTGCGGGTGAATGGTTTAGAGCAAACATTGCAGCAATGGGGAGTCTCTCCAGTGTGCTGGCGCAGGTGATTAGTCAGGTGTTCTTTACGAGTGAATGTTTTGTTGCAGAACTCACAGCGGTGCGGAGATTCACCTGTGTGAATGCGTACATGATTGGTCAAGTGCTCTTTGCGTGTGAAGGATTTGGAACAGAAATGGCATCTATGTGGAGACTCGCCTGTATGTTGTCGAACATGATTGGTCAGATGCTCTTTCCGTGTAAAGGATTTGGTGCAGTACTGGCATTTATGGGGAGATTCCCCTGTATGCTGACGCACATGGTTCACCAGATGGTCCTTTCGAGTAAATGCCTTGGGGCAATACTGACAGCGGAAAGGTGTCTCACCTGTATGCTGTCGCACATGATTAATAAGATGTTCCTTGCGTGTGAATGACTTGGAGCAGAAACCACAACGATGAGGAGACTCTCCTGTATGCTGGCGCACATGGTTGAGAAGGTGTTCCTTACGGGTAAATGTTTTAGAGCAAAAATCACAGCGGTGGGGTGTTTCTCCTGTATGCCACATGATGTGATTTGTGAAGTGCTCCTTACGAGTAAAACTCTTCCCACATATTTCACAGCGAAAAGGTGTGTCATTAGTGTGTGAGCGCATGTGGTTTGCAAGATGTTCTTTGCGTGTATACTTCTTACCACACACCTGTAAATACAACAAGGCCCACAGTTAGATGGCGTGTCAAAATATATCATGCTGTGACTAAGCAATACTTGTTAAACGTCTACCATCCCAGCATACAAATGTTTGTGGATGGAAATTATTCACAGAAAAATACAAAGGTTCACTCCTTTTTTGTGACCTTATTACCACAAGATGCTGGGTAGGAGAAAATTCTCTCAGCAAAGACAGTAATACAATGCATGACCTAACTGGAGGTTCTATCAGCACTCAAAAATGTTTTCAGTAATTCAGCTTTACTTACCTGATATTACAACAGTTGCTGTAAATGGTGATATCCACTATCCAAGAACATTATTTCACACCGATGTAACAAATTTTGTAACATACATTCAGAAGTTCACAATGTGACTTATAGAGCAAAATACTGTATTTCAACCAGAAGAGCTTCTAAAGTTTCCAAATTATTTATGTACTTTGTTTCAAGTTTCAGTACAGGTAGAATATATCACACACATTCTGATCCCAGAAACAAGATAGCCATACTTCTCTAATAAATATGAATCAAAACTATATATTATGCAATTCTGCTAGCATACTGGCCTAATCAAAATACTCACAACTAACTCTCAACCACACACACACACATGCTGTTTAATATTGTAACTCACTACGGCTGGCACCACAAATGAAAATAATGCTGACAGCCATCTGGTCACAAAAACAAATGTTTTGATTCATGGCAATGAAATGCACATTTATCATGCATTCTCTCTTTATGTTAAGGCATGACCCATGCTGTTATAATCCCCAGTTTGAATGTGCCAAGATTTTTTAATAACAACAGAACTCATAAATAACTCATTCCCTGTGAAGCCATTCAAAACCGAACTCTCAAAATATTATTCCAGAAATCTTGGAAAGTGATTTCAATGAGTGTGACAAAATTTGTTGTAGCTCTGTGAAATGTGCTTTTATGATAAAGACACCATTCTGAGCAGTTATTATAACACAGTCAAGTAGAGCTGCTTTAATGAAAACATTTTTCAAGAATGGACAAAACCTCCAAATAAAACATTCAGTAGTGTGTTATTTGTCTTACCCAAGGGAAGCCAACTATCAGCTGGTATCTCGCCTAACAAACAATAATAAGGCCATAAGCAAAGCAATAAACCTCTCTGTGATCCTAAAATGTTACTCTTTACTAAGAACTAATAAGGAGTCAATCACTTCAGCACTGTTGCCTAAGAAACTAAACATTTTTAACTGAAAACGGTATAATATTAGGATTTAGTGTTTCTGAATGCTTTGACATCTCATCAGCAGTCATTACCAAAGCTTCTAAACACATTTTTCTGACCATAATTTGCACCAATCAACAGAAGCAGACATCACAGTGTAACCTCACACCTGACAAAAACACGTCTTTCCACCAGAAATGCAGGAAGATACAAATATTATCCTCAGTATCATGTCATACTATGATGTATAAAGCTAGAAGCATCGAGCTGTAACACTTATTACATAAAGCAGAAAAGATGAAAATATTTTATATCATTTGGACTTTATTATGAAACAGGCGTCCTGAAACGAAATATATAATTAAATATAACAACTTAACACACATACACATAACATAATACTAGACTGAGATATTAATGAGACATTTATGTTATATTAATACAAACAAGAATCTAGAACAAATCAAATTCTCCATGGACATGATATTGCGTGCGTACTGTTTGCAAACAACATATTTTGTATGTAGGGTGCTTCTTACAGATGAAGAATACGTTGGCCTGCATTAACACAAAGTATAAAGAGAAATAAGTGTGTTTCAACAGTAAGTACTTCTACTATAAAAAGATAACCAACCTACTGAAATGCAATGTACTGAAAATATGAAAAATCTTGCTTCTTGATTCCAAGACAGTATCTTATGAACTACTGCAATAAGACAAGTTAAATTTAGTATGCTTAGAAACTATGGATGTACTGACATATTTTGTATTTCAACTATGCACAATACAAAAATTATTAATTTATTTGTTTTATTTAAAGTCAGTAGCTCAGACTATACAATGTAGTATAAAAATATCTGATGCTATCTACTACTGTTGAGTGTTGTCATGGTATGTTAATTCCACTTTTCCATGCCTGCTTATTCCCCATATCAGTTTCTTCACATACATAAGTATTGTCAAAGATCTTATTAAGTGAACCGTTCTCCATGCAAACAATTTCCAGCTAATGAGACAATGCTGCATATAAGGATATATCTCGAAGCAACTGGTAATAGGATTCGTCAAAAGGAAATGAACATTTGAATCCTTCCAGCGTGACAAATTTTAGTTCTGTTAATAGTTTAATTTATAGAATCAAAGACAAGAAGCAGAATTGAACACGAAACATACTAAAATATTATAAATATGAACTGCAAATATTTCAAGACAAAGTAAACAACCATTAGTCCTTCCAAAATCAGCTTTTATCTTATATCCAGGGATACCAAATAACTGGTCTAATATAATTTCTTGGCACCATTTGCACCAAGAATGTTTCTTCTAGGATATTTGTCTAATTTCTTTAAAGAAACCATACATACCTGACATGCATGTGGTGTCTCGCCAGTGTGCCACATGACATGATTCATGAAGTGCTCTTTTCGTGTGAAAGACTTCTTGCATATATCACATCGATGAGGTGTTTCACCAGTATGTTTACGTACATGGTTGACCATATGTTCTTTACGAGTAAACGTTTTGGCACAATACTGGCAACGATATGGTGTTTCGCCCGTGTGACAACGTGTATGATTGTCTAGGTGTTCTTTACGTGCAAATGACTTGCCACACACTGTGCATCCATATGGTTTATCTGTTGCATGCCGTTTCATGTGCCGCTCAAGACTTGCAGCATTAGCAAACACATGGAAACACACTGCACATGTGTACATGCTACCACCAAGGTGACACTTGCCATGCCGGCTCAGTTCAGCTGCACATGTGAATGCTTTCCCACAAACCTGAAAATTAAAAGTAAAATTATTGGCCAGTACAGGCAACAAATAATACATCTTATATAGGTCTAAACACATCACAGTGTTTGCAAAACTATACAATAAACTGTTAAAATACTTAAATTCAAAGATTTCAAAATACATGATTCATATTAATCACAAAACTACTGAAACAACCAGAACTGCTGGAACATTGTTTAACTTTCTTCCAGGACAATGCAGCAACCTATCACAACCACGATGTCATATCGAGCTGGAGTTTGGAGGTGTTGGCACACCTTCATTAAGACAAACAGTAGTTTTTGGTGTAATGATTTTCTCCTAACTAATTTGAAGGAACTGCAAATTAATTCTTGAACTAAGTGAACACACACAAGACATTAAACAGAATTTATTGTGAATTACTCTACTAAATCCAATGGAAATAGTAGGGGAAAATAAATGAATAATGTTTTAAAAATGTGGTGAAATTATTAGTAAAATAGCTAAAAATTTAAACAACATAAAAATTTTGATACCCATACCTAATAAATATGAATTGTCTATGATATATCAGAAATTCATGATTATTTTTAATAAAATAAAAAAGCCCCACCTCATGATGCAATGCATAAATTTTGCCCCCACTGAAGAGGTTAACAAAAAATTGCAATTAAGTCATCATTATACTAACAAATATGCAAGACCATCACTTTTAACCTATTCTAACTCAATAATGATTCTGCACTGGATACTTAAAGAGTTGTTCCCTTTTCAGAGGCATTTTTTTCTTGAATAACACTGTAAATTTTAAACATTATTAACTTCTTACACCCAGTCACTGTGGCCGTGCAGTCTGGGTGTGGGCCTTTTGTGCTTGGAAACTGGGACCGTGGGTTCAAATCCCAATGAAGGCACAGATGTTTGTCCGTGTCTTTCTGTGTTGTGCTGTCCTGTGTACAGGTAGAGGCCTTGTGACGGGCTGATCACTCGTCCAAGGAGTCCTACCAAATGTCTAAATAGATTAAGTAACCCCCAACAGAGGTGTCCAAGACCCACACTGGGTTGTAGCGCCACAGATGATGATGATGATGATGATGATGAACGTCTTGCATGCAACTTCAGCGACAAGTTAATACTTTCCTTAACCCACTCTAAGATAAGTGGTCACGTGTATAAAAAAACCCCTCATGGACAGTACTCCAGGTTAAAAATCAGCCAACATATGCAGGAGTGAACACATGTAAATAATGCACTTGTGGAATATTGCCAACAGCAGCAGTCTTTACAATAATCACATCTTATGACAACAATAATACTATAATGAATTAATAACAATGCATGGAATTAAACAAGCTGAAGATTCTCACTCTAACATTTCATAAAAATACATTGTTATTCGACACTACCCGTGGATTTGTATGAACAAGTGCTGGATGTGGGAAGTGACTCAGAAGACCCTCTGTACAAACGCAATGGTGAATATGATTTGTCACATGACTGTATGTTTGACACGACCCTCCAATAACTAGTGTTAAAAACAAGTTAAAATTAAAAATACTGTCAAGAAAAACATTACTTTGAACTTCCTAAACATTATAAAAATGTCAAGTACCTGGCAAGTGAAGGGTTTTCGTTCTGTGTGGTAGCGTCGATGGACTATAAGTTGATACCGGAAAGGAAAGATCTTGCTGCATATGTCACAGATGTGAGTGCCTGGTGCAGTGATGACAGCTGCTGTAGCAGGGGATGTGGCAGTGCTTGCTGTGGCTGTATTACTTGCTCCTGCACCACCGACCTCACTACAAGAGGACTTCACACCTCCTGGACTCTGCAGAACTGCACCTGCATTTGCAGTTCCAGCTGCCACAGCTATTTCATTTTGAAGCTTTCCAAATACTTCGTGGTATGCCAGCAACTGATTGATGTCTTCCACATTTACCTGAAAAAATAAGAACATGTTTTATTAGTACAGACAGATGGGTAAATAATAACATAATATACACATTTTACAGACAAATTAATACCATATATGGGTAATAAAATAGCATACAGTTCATAATAAACATATTTACATATTTAATGAGCAAATTTTTATTCAATTGACTCTTCACCATCGTCAAGAAGTTTTAGATTTGATATAAATATTTCTGTCTTATAATAAACAACAGCTTGTGACAATGCAGGTAACAGTGTGTAAAAATATGTAACCCTTTCAGAGCAATGTTTTTACAAGCTTCTTAAAACGCAATGTACTAAACAATTGTTATTCTTTGGTTTTTGTATTACTGTACTTATAGTGCATGCAACTTATTTTCTGTCTATCTTATGATTGTAAATCTGACTGACAAGGCTTGTACATGTGTTTTTCACTTTCACTGTCACCATATCTCTTCTTAAACACCAACACCGTCAGTATTTACATCTGCCACAACTATGACTGTCAACTGACAAGCCTGTTCTTGATCACTTCCAACTGAAATAATTATCAACTGAAGAACTAAGTAATTAGATTAAATGTGCAAAATCTGGCACATGGGACACTGTCTTCAGATTTCAAAAACACAGCAGACTTCCACAGAAATTAAACCACCAACTGAAACACTTCACTTTCAGCCATTCCCTCCCCTCCCTTCCCTCAAAAGTTGTAACAAGGAGAGAGGAAACAGACAACAGTACTAACAATGACTGACAATTACAAATGATTCATCTTTCAACATACAGCAATCCCTGCATAATGCACGCAGAGGGATCATATTAAATACTGATATAATACTTGGGAACATTCACCAGCTTTACCTTGTACATGTTCTGAACCATCTCAACGCCCAATGTCTTGGTCAGTTCTTGGTCTCCATTCCCCGGGGTACTGATCTTCACTATGCTACCATCTGCAGTACGAATGTCCATCATGTGACCCTTGATGTCTTGTACTGGAAACCTGACCAAAAAAATGTTGGTGAGAACTACACAATACCAGTACAAAATCATTTAAAACTATTCTGGACATTTCTTGGAATAAATGAGTATTTCTATTTCATTATCTCTATTTGGTAATGTTAAATACAGTGAAACCTCGATGCATCATTTTTGGTGGGGGTGGGAAATAAAAACGATGAATACGGGAAAACGATAGTTGTGGGAAAGCATTAAAATTTTTAAAAAAACTGAATGTTTCTCTTTCAAAGTTACTTCTTTTTACCAAAAAAGTCTTTAATGGACAACTGTGGGCCAGGACTAAGATTTTTGAACGATTGATGTGATAAAACGATAGTTCGAGGAACGATAGAAGCGGGAAAATGTAACATTATTTTATATGAGATGTATCCGGGACTGAACAAAACGGACGATGCATCCGGGAAAACAATAGTTCGGGGAACGATGGATAGAGGTTTCACTGTACATTTATAATTATTATTTTGTTTCACACTGGTCTTTTTAAGTGTAGGGAGATCAACTAAATATTAGGTAATGTACTGGGAAGCTATGATTCCATACCATGAAATAATGCCATTAATACTAAACCAGTAAAAATAACACTTCTTACTGAGGCAAAGTGCAAGAGAATGTTTACTTTGGAAATAATTTTCATCTTAACCCACAAAACATTTGTACCAATCTCACCTCAATTTTAAATGACAATGAAAGATGCTAATTAGGCACATATTTAATACATATTTTTTTCTCCTTACACTAAATGCATGATAAAGTGCAAACTCACCCAGGCATGGGCAAATTGCGCATGTCCTTGGCACAGCCACTGATTGTGGGTTTTATCTCATCTTTCACCTGGTGTTGCTGATCAGGACCTACTGGTGGTGCTGCAACTGGATCCATCTGAGTTCCAACTTCCTGTGAAGATGCTGGGGTAGGCACTGCAGTCTGCATAACGCTATTGCCTGCCCCATTAGTACCAGGTCCAGTACCATCCCCTGCTGCTCCTGACTGCTGCTGCTGCTGCTGTTGTTGTTGTTGTTGTTGTTGTTGTTGTTGTTGCTGCTGCTGCTGCTGCTGCTGCTGTGACAAGGCAGCCTGATGTACAGCCACAGCCTGATGCTGGTTCAACTACGTGGAAAGAAACTCAGCGTATTTCAGCTACTGAGGCCTAATAAGTGGTTACTACTTGATGCAGACAATAACTCACTGTAGTCTACTTCATAATCTGTAGGGATTAGTAAACAAAAGATCACTCCTTCAATTTCTTTACCCTTAATCATTCAGTTTTGTATTTATTCCACATATAATAAAGGCAGTTATATCAAGACAGTGATAATTTTCAGGCTGCACTAAATCAAAGAAATACTTCAACAGCTAAAAAATTATAAACTGTTTTAATAATACACTATTCAATGGAGTACGTAAAGTAAGTTCTTCAAATGTTAGGCAGGCAGGGGCATAGAAGTAAAGCTCCATGCAGTCTTAACTTCAGTACTAGATGGATCTGAATGGTTCGCTTTACAACCAGTCACCTTAATACCACGGAAAGCATACTGGTACCCATTAGACAGGAGTGAGCCCCCCCCCCCCCAGGGCTGATCTGGACAATGTGATAACAGAAAAACCATGTTTCCAATAAACAAAAACTGAACTTACAACATGAAACCCAATCACTATGATCGAGCTGATCTATAAAATATTAATTTAAGATTTAAATATTGCATTGTATGAATAGAGCAAATATATGGTAAATGAAAAATATATATTTGATGCTATAGAGTTTAATCACTGAATAGTATCCAGTTTGAAACATACTCCCATAAAACTCTATACTTAATTTACAAATTTACGAATTTTTCCATGACAAGACCCCCATAAATTGAGACATACATGTATGTTGTCATTCACATGTACACAAATACCTGATGCAACTGCTGCTGTGACAGCTGCGCAGCCATACTCTGTTGTTGTTGTTGTTGTTGCTGCTGCTGCTGCTGTTGATGATGTTGCTGTTGTTGTTGTTGTTGTTGTTGTTGCTGTTGCTGCTGCTGCTGCTGTGCTGCTAACTGCTCACTGGCTTGTTGCTGAGTCTGTGCTGCAACTGCAGCTGCATTCACCAACTGAAGATCACACTGCACCTGGGAAGTGATATGGCAAGTTTCCAGGTGGAGGGATGCAAAATGTAGAATATATTAATTTTGCAAATTCTGTACTTGTACACAGCACGCACGCAATAGATGTAATGGCAACCATTGTTAATTATCCATGGAGATTTATTTATACATGTATGTAATTATACTGCTAATCAGGGAAGAATTATAATAACAAAAAATTTGCAAGTAGAATAGCCAATAGTCAAACTACAGACAATGTTTTAATTAACGTTAATTCAGATTCAATAATTAACCACAGTTTCACTACCTTATGTAAGTCATCTTGTTGTCTATGATCTTCTGGGATGTGATGCCATGCAGGTGGTTACCAATATTCCTCCAAAATTTTGATAACCACTTACAAGGCCACATGGCATCAAAACCCAGAAGACCACAATCAAAATCTTCACTGCCGTGACAACATATTTCAGACATAAATCACCTTGTCTACTCTAAGAACAACAATATCAACACCCAAACTCATCTTCTCCATTACCATACACAGTGTTGACTTTTAATTTTCAAACGATTACACATGCCTCACACCAAAACACTAAAATAACTTAATTTTCTAAAAATGTGGTAATTACCAATACTATATACCATGTCCTTCAGAGCACATCTTCACAAATGCAATGACATCATTAATTTCATAATTTAACTGTAACAGTCAGTACCACCTTCCTTTCTCAGCATATATAAATAAACAAATCCGAAGAACACATGTAAAGGTAAAGAAGACACTAGTACACTTTGAAAAGAAACACTTTGGCCTTTATTTCCCCCCCCCAGATATATATATATATATATATATATATTATCATCATGGGTAAACCCTTTCCTTACATGCTTATCAACATAATTATATGAAGCTGCTGGTATATGGCAGTAGTTTGCACTCACTTGGCAGTGGACCTGGTTTTCACCACAACGCTCTGTGGTACATGTCCCCTTGTCGAGCTTGTCTTTGTCTACCTCTTCACTTGTCAATACAACTGTAGCAGTTCCAGTACCTGCTCCTGTCACTTCCAGGTGCTGTTGCTGTGCAGCCACAGAGTGTGGTGGAAGTGACAGAGTAGCAACGCCTCCTGCAGTAGTTGTCAGCGCTGCCTGGACAGCTGTCACAGGTATCTGCTGCAAGATCATTGATAAAATTAATTTACAAATAAGTAACACAATTTTTATGTCCAACAGTCATATTAGTAAGATGTTTCCTATAAATGCTTTCATCTAAGAGATACCACAAGTTAAATGGTCAATGGTTAATTCCTGTGCATAATTTTCATGACATCAAAGTTAGCAGACAACCTCCACCCATTATGACATCCAAGAAGTCAGTAACTCTTGACAACAAGAGAACTCATAAGATGAACAGTTATGCTCACTCTGTGAAGAGCTAAATAAAATAAAGAAAACACGAACAAGAATAAAAAAGCACACTGCTAACCAATATAAGTACTTCAAAGTTGCAAAGTATAGCTTGTTCTCTTTACATTTATAAATAAAGATTTTCATAAAAGGGGCTTTTGATGATGATGGAGATAAACCTACATGGACAAAACTGTCATATTATGAGTTTCCAATGGTCTGTCTGCCATATCATTATCGTGCTTCTCTAAAACATTGAGAAGCAGTTCATAAACATAACTAACCTGTGCATGAGCATGCTGCGGATGATGAGGAACAAGTGCCATGGTTTCAGTGGTTACACCTATGCCTGGGGGACCCGTCATGCAGTGCTGCTGCTGCTGCTGTTGCTGCTGCTGAGATAGTCCTTCCTGGCCTCCTCCAGGTTTTCCATTGTCACATGGCTAAAACACACACAAAAGGAATGATTGCATAATTTACATTTAACCACTAGCACCTCCCTGCCTAATATCACTAATAATCCAAACAATACAACATCAACTGGCAGACCTATGGTTAGGATTAAGTTAGGTTAGGGTAGGCTAAGTTAGACAAACAAAGACACACTGACAATCACCTGCAAAAACAAACACAGTATTGCCCTAGTGAATGATTTAATACATATTTTCTTCTAATTTTCTGACTTAATACACTCATAAACCTTTAGAATATAGTTTGCAGTGAATTACAATATAAGAAAACTAGTTACACCCAATGTGATGTCTGAGCATCCATCAGCAAAACTGCAACTTTAAACTTATATAGAGTTTTATCAAGGATATAATTCACTGAAATAATGAGTGCAACAAATTCATCTTTTGATTTAAAAAATCGACAGAAGTTTAAGCAGTGAATCCTGTTACAATAAGTATAAAGGGGGAGCGATATTAAGCACATTTCTTCATAGACCTCAAACATGAATTATATTAATCTCTTCTGGAAGCCATTAATCACGGTCCTTAAGAAACAATGGATAAGAAACAGAAATGGCATTTGTCTGACTTAACATCTGCCCAGAAAGACAGTGCATCTATTACATATAAAAAAACTTGTAAGTACTCACTCTAGGAGGATGCAGCCCATATACTGAAACTTGGGGAATGGGACCTGGAAACAGGTTGGTAAGTACCCAATACTTGGCCACACTGGACAGCGCAACAGCTGTTCCAACACGCAGGTCTGTTGGCGTCCCTGTATGTCTTTGAAGGGCACCAGGATGTGTTGCTTCCTGTAATATACAAGTGGTGTCAAATATATTTTAATACTTTTCAAAAAATAGAAATGGCTGTATTTTCTATAACTTGCCACACAGAATGAGTAAACTTGGTAGGCCTGGCTGGTCACAAAGATGAAACAAGTCAAGCTTGGAAGGAATGTACTAATATGAAACTTCTATATAAATGAGATTAACAGATAAGCACACTACCACCTATAGTATGCATGCATGTATTTGGCACTAAAATCATGTCCTACAGTCAGGACACTTACAGAACTGCATAAAACAGTGACTTATGTATGTACAGATAACAAATGAATTGAATAACTTTACACTATGCATAAATAACTTCACACTTTGATGGAGGTAAACTGTTATCAAACTGTCAGAAAGCACTAACAATTCACTATACTTTATATGATGGCATATCTTCATATCCTCTGTGTACAGTAGATAAGCATCTATTCTTGAATATGGTTACTAAATCGAAAGCATTTTCAGTTCATGAGAAATTTAATAGAATCAAAGATGATAAAAAATTGAAATAGGTCAAATAAAGACCCCCATGTTCAGGTCATACAAAAAGGAATAACATATACATAATATCATACAAGATCATTTAAACCAAAACATAGCCTTCTAAAAATATCCTAACAGGTTTATCTGCATTAATAGCACAGGTACATACAGCAGAAAAACTGTGGCTAAAAGAACTGAAAATACAAATGTTACGTATCTGCTGAACAGGGACACTAAAACCGACTGTTTTGAGAACAAAGTTTGTACCTCCATAAACACAAATGAAAAACAAGGCATCAAAGCAGTGCTACCTGGAATGCCTGAAGATTTTATATTCCAATAAATGATCATAACGATAATTCCCCTCTACATATGCTGAAGCTCATTAGAGACAGTATCACATGTTCCATGACATGGAAGCACATCCAAACCTAAATCTAACCAAAGTAAGGTACATCAACAAGGCATCCACAGTGGGAAAGAAAGTACTACTAGTTTGAATTAAGCACAATAATTTTATACGTGAAAAGACAAAATCAACATGATTATAAAAATACAGTTTATAGTTAAAAAACACCTAAATCTTTGGTGGTTGGTTCATGACACAGAGAAATTACAAAGAGTAGGTCTATTTCACAAAGCACATTTGTTTTCCTGGTAAGGAAAATGATCCTCATTTTATTAAGGTTTATAGTTTGACAAAATTAGCTAAACACAAACCACGTATACAAACAATAACTGGAATATTTAGTTACTTGAAAAACGTCTAGGTGTTCAGAAAAAAAAAATGTATCAAATTAAATCACATAAATTTAAATCAAAATATCAAGAGGCAAAGGTTCAAGAACTAACTCTTTAAAGGATGAGAGCCATTATCATAAAAGGAAAAACAAATACTCCAGAAAAGCAGATATGAGAGTCTGTTGCTTAAATAACTAACAGTAATTATAGCAGCAGCAACAGCAGTAATAATCATAGTAATAACAGTAGTAGTATTCATACAGAACTGTAAATTTGTGCTTAATAACACACAGGGCAAAATATACCTCAGGAGGAGCCGTCGAGGAAGTTGGTACAGCCAATGTGTGCTGCTCAGCATTCATTATGAATCACAATGCTGCACTGATGAATGGAAACAATAATCTGGAACATATGTTTTCAAAAATGTTGCTTCTTGTAACTTGTAGTAGACTTGTATGTCAATCTAAACTTATTCCTTGTATTACAGTAATGTTACTGTAATAAACACTAAGCTGATGTAGAATCAGTTATTTAAATAACAATATTTTATAATACTGTATGAGTTGGCCAAATTCAAACAAAGCAATAACAACCATAAATGAGTTAAAGGGTTTGATTACCAATTTCAGAAGTGCCAGAGATGCAAAATATTTCCTAAATATCACAATAACAAATAATTGTTATTTCCTGCGTGCAAATGCCAATCTTGTCAAGTCTTATAACTACTAATTATGGTGCATTTCCTGACAACAGACAATTTGAATGAACCGAGTGACAGCATACATTTTGTAGCATAACACTGGGTATACTACCCAAAAAAGACCAGTTTACTACATTTATACGAGGGTTACTTCAAAAGTAATGGCAACTAATTTTTTGGGGGCAAACACGTTATATTGAAGAAAGTTCAAAATATACATATGAAAGGGCACGATATGTCCCGCGAGAGGACATTTCCAACGCAGTTCGGCAAGAGATGGCAAAATTTGGAGATGGTGAAGCTGATGGTATTCACTGTCTTCCTCGTCGTTGGCAGCGAGTACTTGATACACTCGGAGACTACTTTGAAGGTTGCTAGTCTTAATGTAAGAATTTTGATTTAACTCACATTGAATTTTTCAAGGATTAAAAATGAAAGTGAAAAAAAAGGTCATTCCATAATGTGCCTTTTTTCTTGCCTACTATACCTACACCCATTCACACCTACCTGATCTGACTACGCCAATCGGATCTTGCCTTTTCATTTGTATATTTTGAACTCTCCTCAATATAACGTGTTTGCCCCCCAAAAATTAGTTGCCATGACTTTTGAAGTAACCCTTGCATGTCTAACCCCAATAACATACACCGACCACAAATATAAGATAACAATTCTCATGTTACAAGACAACATAGACGTGTGGAATGAAGCACAGTTAAAACACCGATATATTATTTCTCTTCTCTACAGCCACATTTATAAATATTTCAAGAGAGTTTTCTTAACCTCAAAACATAGACATATAGTGTTTCTTAATTCCTGTACATTGTGCTCAAGCATTTTATTCAGTTTGGTGAAGATCCAAATGATCATGGGAACGATCAATGGAATCCTTTCAGCAACAGATTAACACTTCTGAATATTCTTTATCGTGAAGTGAAATGGATGCAGCTAGCTCAGGATAGAGTCCAGTGGCAGGCTTGGAGATGAACCTTCAGTATCCATAGAGGAAGTGAGCTATTCTTTGACAAATGGAGTTTATAATCGACTTTTAAAAGAATATCCTGCACCATAGAATGAGTGAGTGAGTATTCTATATCTATGAAGTAACTGAACCCTTTTCACAGCTGACTTTTCTCTTTAGCTTAATGGTTTTACCGTATAATTTTAAACCTCAGGGAAATGCCGGAATAGTACCTTAAATCAGGCCAAGACTGCTTCCGTCCACATCATTTCCAAATCATTACTCAATATCATCCTCTGATTTGATGCTATATAGTCTGAGCTAATGAAAAAGCATCATTAAATGAACTATAAGTAAATAAATAAATTTAAACTTCAAATGTCATTCAATATGAGTAGACTGGATGGCTGTTACAAAATAACAAGCACTTCATCGCCTCAGATTCTTAATTGGTAACTTAACGGGCTCAGCTCTATGGAGAGAGTGAATGAGTTAGTTACTTATGCCCACTGTGGTGGTAGTAGTAGTTTACAGCTGCCCCACAAAAGAAGTTCTACACTTTATTCATATTTACATAAATGATGTGCCCACATTAATAAAAGAATTCATCACCCAAAACTCTTTCATTTGCTTTTCCATTCCTACTCTACTTCTTTCTGCCCCATTACACCTTCCACTGTCATCCTAAATACGTACGATTAATAACACTACTTTTTTGTAACTGATCAATAAGTGCCAGGCACATACTGAAAATTTCCCTAGTATGAGCACAGTTAAAAGTTGTGATGCAAAAATTCAGTACAAACAGCACATAACTAAAGCCAGCCATATAATACTGTGGTCCATGCTCAACACAGGCAAAACTGTTAGTGATGTGAAAGTATTTTAACACCTAAGAATTCTTTGGTTTTTCAGTTCTTCAATTCATTATTGATATGTCTACATGTGATTTCCTGTGCTGTGGTATGAAGTCCCAAAATGATGGTAGTCATGGGGCCAAGGCCATATGACAATGTAGTGACACATAGTGCTGTCATATACTTTACAGCGACATGGAGAAAATACACTTCTCGCCTGGCAGACACATTATTTTGCCCATATAGTTGTTCCTTGGGTTACCACAGTAGCATGTAAGATTCTTGAAACACTACTGGTGCAAATGTGCAGTAGAGGACAAATGGTTCAATGGAAATCATGCATTTATCTTGCACAAGGTGGTGAACTCGTGTGCCTGTACCTGTGACAGTGACTTCCTGTACTGAGTACCATAATGATGATAAATATCAACATCAATGGCTCCTTTCTTCATACATACACAGTTTTTCAAATATGTCAAACTTCCAAATGCTGTATCACAGAACACTGTGTTGTGTCAGAGGAATTTAATGTTTTTTTAACCGTTGCAATCATGTGGAACTAGGCCACTGGCCATCCCCCGACATGAGTGAATAAAAAACAGTGGAATGATGCTGACATGGGAAAACTGAAGGGCCTGGACAGAAACCTGTCCCAGTGCCACTTTGTCCACTGTAAATCCCAGACAGACTGCCAGGGCAAGCCATCAATTAACTGCCTGAGCTATCACACAACCATAAATAATGGTTTAATGTTATGCACACTTTGGAACATATAATAAAGTCACTGAACATTACGGCCAATTGGTTAAATAGTCCAAGGAACCTACGCACCTATAAACTCATTACTAGTATTCTGGCTAATACTAGCTACCTGCTTCATATTTAGGAGATCCTGGTTTAAAATCCCACCTCAGGGACTGACAATTTCTGTGGTTTTCCTCAGTCCCTGCAAATGTCAGAGTATAATATTACATTAGGCCACAACTGCTCCCTACCACATCTTTTCTGATCCATTATTCCTTAATCAACCTGCCATTTTACATTATATAGTCCACGCTAATGACAGTATTGTTTAACAAACGAAAAACACAGAATCTAATGTATCCACCATGTAAGTAATTGAACAAGGGACATCCTGGCAAAGCATATGCATGTCTACAATCTGCCAACCCTGCTTCAATATTCGTAAATGCTTCAACAAAAATACCAACTTTAGTCCTTTCTTGGTAGCTATATAATTATTATAAGACAACATCTACAGAAGTTTGAATCATTTCATGTAGATGGGATTGCAGACTTTCAACAAAATTGTAATAAGCAATTGATACCTTGTTTGATCATACAGTATTTGCAAATTCAAACAATATAAATTTCAAGTTCAGTCAAATGTCTCATGAGATCCAGAAATACAATTTTTACCACCAGTTTGATTGATGCACTGCAGACGAGATGAATATAACGTATCTGCTGAAAATTCAGCACAATTAACTTCAATGGTGTAAACAACACAATAAAAAGTATAATACACAAATTCATTTCTAACACATCATGTTGTGGGATACAACATTCCTGAAGGTAACGAAACTTATGTAAAAACACTAGGTGGTTGCACTCTATAGCCCTATACAAATTACGTACCTCGAAAAAATTGACACCCTGCAGTTTTCTTTGCAAGATTGATCACTCATTAACATCTGATCAAGAGAACAGCACAATATGGTATCATTTAATTGTTAATATTGCGATGTATCTGGCTACGCATCACTTCATAAAAAAGTGCGGCAAAATAGGAATGGTGTGAAATAAGCGGCTGTCATTGTCATGTAGCTTAGAATAGGCTTACCAACGCTCAACCTTACGAAAAAAATAATTGTCAAATATGCATATATACGTGAAGTAAACATAAAACACTTGTATTATGAATAAAGCGTATGCACTTCTGCATACAGACATAGCAAATACATCGTATATAACTTACGTATCCCGTTGTCTATAGTTTTTTATACAAAGAAGAATTTCGGACAATAAACAGGTTAGCTGTCATGGCGAAACATCACGGCTTGCAAGCGACTGTAAATTACTTGACTTTTGTCAACTAGCTAGAGTCAAAAACTTACAATCATGTCCACACACACAATTTTCAGATCACGTGTCAAAGTATTATGCATAATTTATTCACAAATAACACTCAATTCAAAAGAAATTTAATAAAAATAAAGAAAGAAACATTTTAGCGTCAAAGCCACTTATCGATAGCCTCAGTCGATTTTCGTATCACTCCGCTTCCCCCGCACAGCAACCTTCGTAACTTTGGTCGGAATATAGTTTCAGATATGACGAATCAAATCAGCACGAAATCGGTATTTTATGAATTGGATTTATATAATTAAAACTTATTTAGTA